TATTTACTCGCGTTAGATACCAGATAGTCAATTATTTTGGCGAGCTGTTTCTCAAACAAAGCCAACCTAATCCATAGGTATTTCGGAAGCGGGATGTTTTGTAAAGAGGAGTTTTTTTTCAGCACCGGCTTTGTAGTGCTATCGCTACTGCTAGACGATCGCCGATTGACGTCACTATTTTCCATTTCTATTACCTTCTTAGAAATTATATCCGCTTCAGGACAATGTTTCGCAATTTTATGTAGAAGGGCTGTCGTCGAGGACGTTTTGAATAGGCCAAGCGCACGACGGCGAAGACCTGAAATAATAACTCAAAAGTAAAGAATAGAAGCATACGATTTCTTATTAGGTGATGAGCTTTTAACAATGTTCAAAATTTTTGTGTCATTGCCCCTTTATAAATATTTGTGGTGTAATTCAAAAATTTTCTAGTAAAGTAAAATTAAGTTTTTATGCGTTTAAGTTAAGTAGGGATATAAAGCAGAGTGTGTCGCCTTTAATAAAAAGAAGTCACTTCTATTAATTTAGAAATTCGAAAAAGGTTGTTAAAGGTGTATGTTTGGAGTGCGGAATTGTACGGGTGCGAAACATGGACAGTGGGCGCGGCGGAAAAGAAAAGGTTAGAAGCATTCGAAATGTGGTGTTATAGGCGAATGATGAGGATACCGTGGATAGAGAAGGTTAGAAATGAAGAGCTATTAGAAACAATAGGAGAACAGAGGAGTATATGGAAGTCAATAAGAAATAGGCGAGATAGGTTAGTGGGACAACTTCTCAGACATGAAGGTCTAGTCAGAAACATATTAGAAGCAGAAACAGGAGTAAGGAGGGGTAGAGGTAGACCTAGATTAGATTAATGTTCGCAAATAGTTAAGGATGTAGACTGTTCTAGTTTTAGGGAAATGCGAAGATTAGCTCAGAATAGGAATGAGTGGATATACGTGTCCAACCAGTCTTAGGAGTGACGACCTTATGATGATGAAGTGATATTGTTAAAATAGTTATAAGTATATAACTGTATCACGGGTGCGAAATTTAGACGGTGGGTGCGGCGAGAAAGAAAAGGTTAGAAGCGTTCGAAATGTGGTGTTACAGGCGAATGATACCGTGGATAAGGATGGTTAAAAATGAGAAGGTATTAGAAAGAGTAAGTGAACAGAGGACTCTATGGAAGTCAATATGAAACAGAAGAGATAGGTTGGTAGGACACCTTCTCAGACATGAAGGTCTAGTCGGAGACATATTACATGCAGAAACAGGAGTTAAGAGGAGTAGAGGTAGACCTAAATTAGATTACTGTACACAAATAGTTAAGGATATGGGATGTTCTAATTTTAGGGAAATAAGTACGAAGATTAGCTCAGGATAGGAATGAGTGGAGGCTTGTGTCCAACCGGTCGAAAGACTGACGATTTTATGATGACGATCAAGTGATTTTGGTGCATAAAAAGAAGAAATTTTGATTAATCGATATTAACAAATTTTATTTAAGTTAAAACATTACAAGTATAAGAGTTCAGTGTACTGTCTGAAACTCCAAACAGTACGAATCAAAAATAACTGTTCTCTTTTTGACTAAGAATTGATGATGATCAAAATTGCAGTTCGTTATATTAAAGGAAATTTAAATTTGAAATTATGTACTTATAATCTTTTGTTTTTTTTTAATATATCTAAAAGACTATGATTTTGAACGCCTCCCAAAGTATCGAAAACATATGTTATTTATCTTCTATACTTTGTTGCTTTGAACTTCACAATTAAATAGGCAGAATTAATAAAATTATTTACCTCTGATTTCTTCTCTGGTTCAAGGGTTTACATAATGTATGTGAAATTCAAATACATGCCTTAAAAATAAATTTTGACTTATTAACTGGAACAATGCAACGGATTAACTCATTTTAGTTCTGTTCGTAATTAGATATACAGCGAATAAGGAAATTGAAAACGTATTACTGCACAGCTGTTCTAATAATGAATTCTCTTTTGTTTTTTGTTTTTTCTTTTACGTTCATTTTCTGAAATTCATTACTTTTCCTTTGTTTTCCTAACATTTCATTTTACTTATATCAGATGCTATAGGGATATTTTATATGTTCAAGGGTGGAATCTATTACCATTCTGTCTAATCTCTAATGGGTCCGTTCAAGTAATGAGCTTTTGTAGACCATTTCAAAAACACACACGGTTTATTTATACAGTCCTGTGTTCTAGAAATCAATACCATAAAAAAATAGAAAAATAGAAGACTCTCATTAATTATTCAATATTATTGTTAGAATTTATTTACGATAATTTTGCGGTGTTAGAGAAAATGCTAGAAAAGCTACAAAAATATCTATTTAAGAAAGGGCTAGAACTAAATCTTGAATCAATGGTTATGCAAGTTACGAAAAACAGAGGAGGAGGCGGAAGGGAAAAAAACAAAAAAGTATGGAAGTGGATAAAGATAGAAACGGCGAGGAATTGTTCATACCTATGATATGTGCTGACAGATTATAATAGAGATGATGTATATTATCAGTAAAGTGTCTAACGGGAGGGCAATTATGGGAAGGGTATCGGGGCTAGGTCAGAAATTACGTAAGGATAATTGGGGTAGGAGGCTGATGTTATTCAATGTGATGGTGTTGAGTGTAGCTTTTTATGGGTAAGGTAAGGAAAAAATGCATGTAGAGGTTTTGTATAGAAGATATATCAAGTGAATATTGCAATTAGAGAGAAGTACGCTAGATTATGTAATAATAAGAGAAGGGCGATAAAAGGGATAGTTAAATATGAGGAGAGGTTCGATAGGCTAGAAGAAGGGTATATCATGAAGCAAATAGATAGGAAGAAGGTATTGGAAATAGGGACGGAAAGTAGATATGATATGAAAAGGGGAGAGGCTTTTGGAGCGATTAAAAGTCAATCAGCAGTAGGTGAGAGAGTGGTTTAGGAACGGGATCAATATGGTGACTATAAGGTACAGGAAAACGATTAGAGGAGAGGATTTAAAAAAAAATAGAAGAATCATGAGGTGGGGCTTAGATATATTTTGTGAAGGAACAAACAAGTCGATTGGGTGTCAAATTATTGGGTTGTTCGGAAAGTCATTTCGTTTTTTCCTGACAGAGGATTTAATTGTATTCTTTTGCACCCAACTTTACATTTAAGCCGTATAATTTTTATATGCAACAGTTAATGACCACTTGAAAGGCCTGGGATTATCCTCGAAGCTCGATGTATGGGTTCCCCATGTTCTCACAGAGAGAAATCACAGAGAGAAATCTGTGTCGCCGCATTGACGTCTGCGATTCGCTTCTCAATCCGTTTTTGAAGCGCATCATCACTGGGGACGAAAAATGGGTTGTATACAACAACGTCAAACGCAAGAGGTCATGGAGCAAAAAAGATGAACCGGCTCAAACCATTTCCAAAGCCGATATTCACCAAAAAAAGGTGATGCTGTCTGTTTGGTGGGATTTTAAAGGAATCGTTTTTTTTTAGCTTTTACCGGATAACACAACGATTAATTCGGAAGTCTACTGTCATCAGCTGGACAAACTGAATGATGCACTTCAACAGAAAAGGTCAGAACTAATCAACAGGAAAGGTGTAGTGTTTCACCAAGACAACGCGAGACCTCACACAAGTTTGGTCACTCGCCAAAAGCTTTTACAGCTTGAATGGGATACAATGCTACACCCACCATATTCTCCAGACCTGGCACCATCGGATTATTATTTGTTCCGGTCACTCCAAAATTTTTTAGACGGTAAAACCTTCACCTCAAATGAGGAGGTCAAAAACCTCCTCGATCAGTTTTTTGCCAGCAAAGACCAAAAATTTTATGAGCGTGGAATTACGCTACTACCAGAAAGATGGCAAAAGGTGTTGGACCAGAACGGTCAATATATAATTTAATAAAGTATTTGTTTATTATACGAAAACTATCTTTCATTTCCACAAAGAAAAACGAAATGACTTTCCAAACAACCCTATATTTAGAAAAAGGAAGGGAAATAACGTGTTAGTAAAATTGAGGGCAGAGAATAAATGTAGAGGATGTAAATATTGGAAGTAGAAGAAGAACAGATGTAGGATATGTGACAGAGAGGTACAATATCTGGAAGAAATTTTAAGGAATAGGGTGTTTTTTTCTTTTAAAGACAGTGAAAGAGATATGACAAAAGAAAGTAGCGTTCGTAAGAAACGTATTCCCTGGACCGTATTTTTCGCCGATTTACGTTGCAAAATTGGTTTCCATGAAAAGCGCTTTTAATTTAACACAATAATATACTGTCTACATCTTAAAGGTCTATTCTAAATATTAGTGAAAGAATTTGTGAAATCGGATGAGTAGTTTCTAAGATTACCTCCTACATCCAAATTTTAGACTTAAAAGTTCCAACAAATTTACAAAGATAGATGAAAAACTACTTGCACCTACTCACTATTATTTTTTTTATTATTATTTACTTATTTATTAAATAATATCTATATATACATCGTATCAGCTTATCTGGCTTCAAAAGTTTCATTTAACTTCGCGAAACTTTGCATTAATTAATTATTTATAAATGAATAGACAGGCAACGTATAAAACTTTAATTCTGATGTCAAACAAGTTTGTTTGGTTTTAATTAATGTTAGTTAAATTAGTAAGCAGTACTTTAGAACAATGGCGAAATTAGTTTTACTTTCGTAATTAATAACAAGATAAAATATAAGCAACGCTCTTTCGCAAGGTTGGTTTTCATCGAGAGTTTTCTTTATTATAACTACATGAAGAAACGTTGATTATTGAGCTTAATTTGCAGATTGAAGTAGAAAGTACTGCTCCAAAAGATTTGTAATTTAGAAATTCGAAGAGATTGTTAAAGGTGTATGTTTGGAGCGCGGCGCTGTACAGGTGCGAAACATGGAAGGTGGGCGCAGCGGATTGACTGATTGATTGAACTTTATTAGCCTTCTCGACTATTTCCAAAATACATTAAAACCTTACATACTAAGAACCTTATTACCATACGACCAAATATTAATCCTACATCTTATAGATTAGGAATACAATCATTAATTATGTTAGCGGAAAGGAAAGGTTAGAATCGTTCGAAATGTGGTGTTACAGGCGAATGATGAGGATATCGTGGGTAAAAAAGGTTAGAAATTAAGACGTATTAGAAATAATAGGAGAACAGAGGACTCATGGAGGAAAATAAGAAATAGGCGACATATGTTGGTAGGACACCTCAGGCATAAAGGTCTAATCAGAGACATATTAGAGGCAGAAACGGGAGTTAGGAGTGGTAGAGGTAGACTTAGATTAGATTACTATTCGTAAATAGTTAAGGTTGTTCTAGTTTTAAGGAAATGCGAAGATTAGCTCAAGACAGGAAAGAGTAGAGGTGCGTGTCCAACCAGTCTTAAGACTGACGACCTTGGAATAATTATTGTTTTGTGGGTTTTGTTTATACTTATTAGATTATTGATACTAGTGTTTGTTTTGTCTTTTTTCTCTCTGATAGGATTAACCGGCACCGTCGGATACCTGGCAGTACTATCCGGTATGCGACCGAATCCTAAAAAAGGATCTGTCGAGTGTCGAATCCAAAGAATTTCGATAAATATTTTGTTTTTTTGAAGTGAAACTTCTTTACGCACGGTAGGGTAAGTTGGTTTCATGCGAATTGCTATGTAACGAAATCATGCAACGCATTTCCTCCGCTGTCTGTCCCTACGTATGCTTAGATCTTTAAAACTACCCAACGGATTTTAATGCGTTTTTTTTTTTAATAGATAGAGTAATTCAAGAGGAAGGTTTATATGTATAATACATGCATAATATAGTAGAGAAACACCAATAATTTTAGAGGTTTGTAATGTGATGTCGTAAATAAACACATTTTTTTGCGCTTGCATTGCAAACGCTGGCTGAACCCTACGAGATAGATCAAAATAATATACTACAGTAATGTACACCTTAAAAAGGTCTACAAAAAAGTCCGGGATGGTATATGTCTATCTCTTAGGGATAACCCACAATAACAATTTTTTATCCTTTACTTTTTACGAGAAATAATGGCTTATTTACGAAGCGATTTTAAGCAATACAGCATTAATCCTTATCCAATTAAGTACTTTTAAATACATTGTGCANTGCATTTGTTATTTTCGCTATTTCTTCAAGAATATAAAATGAAGCACCAAAAACGTTAGTTTCATTGGTTAACATTAAAGTTCCATAGAACCAGCCAATTTTCAGTGGACAACCACCAAATGTACTTAAATTTCCATGAGATATATTGATTGATGTTTGATTTAAATTAAATTTAACGAGGGATGCACGCTGTGGACATTCGCGCCCCTTTCTGGGTTTCCAAGTGTAGCCAATTGAAGTGTTATCACACACTTTAATAAATGCGACATTAAAAGCGAATATTTTTCGAAAATATTCAATAGATGTTGAAATACCTTCGTCATCTGAAAATCAACAGTCTAAATGTTTGCGTTATTTATTAGTCATAACAACAAACTGCACATTTAATAAAACAAATTATATACAACAAATATTTATGCATTTGTTTGATTGTCTGTTTGTAATCGCGTTCTAGACAATGGCTTCAACGATTTCAATGAAATTTGTAATATACGGTTTTACGGGGCGAATAATAGATCTATAATGGAACGTTAAACATTGGCATGATCCGCAATAAAACTATGGCATTTTCATTCTTCTTTCAACTTACTAACTAAACTAGAACGTTTGCTGAGAGAACGCCTACTTAAACACACGACAGACGTTGTAGAGAATATCGTAAACTTAGAAAAGAGATGTCAGGTAGCAATTGCAGCGGACACAAATAAATAAAAAGGAATTACATTACACCAATTGTGTAGTGTAACAGAAAGATATGCAGACAGACAGTATTTGAGCATGTTGCTAGCACCGAACTTTAAAGAAAGTTCAACATTCTCTGGAATTAAGGAAACCAAAAACGCTTGTTTAAAGATATAATTCCAACCAGGCAGTTGTAAAACCGACTTTGATCCGCTGCATCGCTTACTATTATTCGTTTATCTCTTTTCACTTTGTCTTTACTACTCATGAAGCATTTCCATTAACAAGGGCGCATTCAAAACACAGCAAATGTAAATACTTTTTTGATAATTAAGTATCTATTTAATTTTCTACATTTACTTAAGAAGAAAATACTTTTTAAGAAAACCTTGCAGGCATTTGCTCAATTTTTATATATAGGTGTTTTCTCTAGACTAATAGTGGTGTCTGCACTATATTACCAGCTAACAAGATTGAGTATGATTCAAATTTTTGAGTGATTGAGATATAATTTTTCTATCTTTTTGTTGTAGAATTTTCAGTTCAGTAACAAGTAGTTCTTCTATATGCTTCCTTATTTGCCTTTGTCACCCGTTTTAATTGGAAAAAAGACACTGATACCAAAATAGTTTGTTTAACGTGAAAGATAAAAGCCAAAATAGAGTTGCAAATAATTTTGTTGGTGTAAAATCAACATCAATCATTTTATATCAAAATACTTACAACCCCATTTTGTTTCTGAACTTTTACATATGTAATAAGAGAAAGAAATGGAATCCATAGTTTCTTTAGCTTTGGGTTCATCTAATAAGTAAAGTTTTTGGAATCGTTTTCTAAGAATGTTGGATTATAGGTATTTATTAGCACATTACAATAACTTGTAGTTTTCAGTTTTACACAGCTGAGAATTCATATTTCATATAATTTCGTAATTTCTTGCTAAAGATAGGATAAGTTGGAACTCCAAAATTCAATGGATCATAACAATGAATCCGGAAAACAATATCGATCGAATATTTTAGATTATCCATTTCTAAGGAGTTTAAAATTTTTTGGTCTCTCTTCAAGAATTAAAAGACATTCATGGAATGTCTCTTTGTCCCTTTTTTGTGTGCAACTTTCATTCATCATTTTATATAACTTGATCGATGATTGANCTTGCACAGTTCCTATGTAAATTTTTCCCCTCATTCGAGTTATAAATTTTGCCACCAGACGGTGTATGCCCATTTGACGGATCCCAATAGTACAGAAAGTTTTTTAAAGAGGTCAAGATCTACCTTTGGGCAAATTTTTATCGATTTGTCGAAGGAGGCGTACTATAACTATAGATTTTTTTAAGAAAATCTATTGACGAACGAAAAATCGTAGGTACGTGCCTATAAATTCATTAAAATCTAAATTATGAGTTGTTATATTAATAAATCGTTTTTCCTTTTAAATAAAGTAGTTTCGTATAACTTAATAAAGTTAAACAAAAAGAAAAAGTTATACCTTGAGAAAGACATGCCTCGACTGCGCTACATAACGACGTCACCGATCCTGATTCTTCGTGAACGAATTTTTTTGTGACCGATTCTTCCATCACTTGCTTCACTTCTTTTTTGACGGCGGCAATGAGTTTAGGTTTGTAATCGTCCTCTGAAAATACTGTCCAACTTAGGAGTAGCATGGAGATAGTGGTCTAGTTAATTTAGGAAGAAGATCGCAAAAAATACACCTGTTGATTTATTTATACAGGCTCTGTATATGTACATATATATATATATATCTTTGTCTTTTAGCTCGCATTAAAAATTTTGTACTTATTTTTCACGGAAATCCCGTGTTTTTACGTATCTGATTTTGAATTTGTTGTTTTCTCTAAAATCAAAAAACAACAAATCACTATCGGGATCGTTTCGACAATAATTTTTTTTGTCCTTAGAAAAATGTTTCGATTTTACTCACCGTTAGTCGATGCCATATTAAGTACCTAGTGTAACTCTTAGGTTTTATTTTCACGATAACTACAACCTATTTTCATCACAGAAACGATTTGTTTGAAAACAATCAGGAATCGGAAAGGAACATGGTCAACTCGGGCTTCGCAACTTGTACATTGTCTCGTTTCGTAAATTAAAGTCTACCTTGGGCACAAAATCGATTACCGTATATATTCGTTGCGCAAACTCAAAAAAAAGAATTATTTCCGCTGTCGAATGCTTTCCGCTAAACCATTTCCAGTACAACACTGATATCTTATCGAATTTCCTGTTTAAATGATTAAGAAAAACGAACGTAAAGTTTAGGCTTTTATTTGAAAAAAAATGAACTCAGAACTTATTCTGTGTCTAACTTCTGTTTACTTATCAACTTATCGAGAGATGCCCAAATTTCGATAAAAATTTCAATTGTTTTCAATAAATTCAAACCATTTTGGCGCAAGGATATGTTAGACAAATTTGAATTATTTTCTCATTTTTTATTTTATTTGGACTTTGGCCTATTGTTTGGTAGTTTGTATATAAAAAAGTTATTCTCCTTAAGAGAAATATTTTCTTACTTTGTTTATTGCTACTTTATTAGATTTGCAACATTTGGTGTATATTGGGTCATCTACATTACTACCTACATAACATTACAAATTATGGTTTAATTTATTCAACAAAGAAAAATAAATTAGCATCTGTAACAGCTTCTACACAGAAAAAATATAATTTGAAAATGAAAATTCATCAATTTGCTTCAATATAATTAGAATTACTGTTCAATTACAGCTTTTATTCTAAATTGTCCCGGCGCCTCCACCAGAATTTGCAGTTAAATTTTTTTAGTAATTACTGATGATATTTAATTTACTTACTTCCGCATTAAAACGATATTTTACAATAAACATTCACTAAATATACATAATTGGTGACTACGTAGTCTTTTAAAAATGAAATATAT